AGCCTCTGGACCGTGCGCAGCCGAGCGCGAAGCTCTCGTGTGCCCTTGTTGCTGCTGCGGCGATTGCAGCGCAGACGCGCGATGCCCGGATGGTACGTCCGAGCTGCGCGGGTGAGCGCGATACTCTCACGTTCGCCGTTCCGGACGCTGTCTGCTGCTGCTCCGCCTCAAGTCCGCCACGTCTGCTAGCTCGCTCCCGCTGCTCCATGACGCTTACCTACCTCATTCCGAAACAGCGAGTCCACATGGCCATAACATGGACAGATGATTCATGATTGCTCGTCCTGAATAATGGGACCGCGCCACCCCACGCCCCAGCCTGCACCCGCCCAGCACTGCCTATAGCTGCAAGGCCGTCAGAGTTTTAATTCGCGGACCCCGCTGCAGATCTCCTCGGGTAGTTCACCTGCGCTGCACGACGAAGTTCAGCCACGCCGGGGCTTTCCCCGAGTGCTCTCGATCAAATCTGTTATGGAAGAGACAGGTTTGTCGGAGACGGGTCCGACTTGTCTTTGTGGCCGTTCAACTGACAGCTGCTGGCCCTTCATTCCGGTTGTGCGCGTGATGTTAGCTGACACTTTCCCCATCGACGGCCGTGTCGGTATTGTGAATCCGCCGTCGAGTTTAATTCGTGAATACCCTAGATAGCGTCGGGCTGGCTTGGCGTGTAGAAGTTTAAACTGCTGTAAAATTAACTGATACTTAAGAATTTAATAGATTATACAAGTATGACAAGTGCCTAGCGAGCTCTCCTCCCGCCAAATCACCGCACTTCCTGAACAGCCTTTCGGTTGTCGCCACCAGTCCGGACGAAAGCCTCAAGGTAGCGGCGAAGCCTCGCATTTGCGGCGGACAGCGCCGAGAAACAAGCGATGAACTAAGGTGCGTCCATTTGTGCCGTCCGCTGTAAGATATGCGTACTGTCATCCGCAACCAGCGCGGCAAAATGAGTTGCGACTATGAACAAACACGACGACAGCCGACGATGAGGATTAACCTTATTTAAGTACACGACGACGACGACCGACGATGATTTGATGTGACAACATAATGTCCACCCACTACATGTAAGTACTCGAATGACCTTATCCGTCGATCATTCGAGCGACAACCACCGATACCATAACGTACCTAAGGCATCTTCATTATTCAAGACCCGTGCGTCACGCGACGACCAACCTACAGTAAAGTACCCCCGACCTACCCGTCGTTCACGGCGCGACGCGGACTGTCACAATATAGTACCCACACGACAGACACGACCACAACCGTCGTTCACGCAACCCACTACCGTCAACGGTACCCGACCTTTTCAACCAACTCGCCATCGCTCGCCCCGCCCTGTCGCACGGCGACCCCACTTGAGCAGTCAGGAGTACCCTGCGACTGGGAAACCTCTGACCCGATCGTCACGGCGACCCCACTTACAGTAAGTAGCCGACCCCTCGTCACGCCAACCCGCACCTAACAGTAAGACTACCGCGACCGCGCCGTCCGTCCACGACGCGACGTGCCCCACTTACAGTAAAAGTACCACAGAGCCGCACAAGCCCAGTGACAGTCACGACTCGCGCGGCGACCCACGTTACAGTAAGAGTACCGCGCGAATATAGATATCTCCGAGCCACCGTACACAAATACCGATCGATTCTACCCAGCAGCGACCCCGTCGCAGGCACCCCACCTACAGTAAGTACGCCGACCCGTCGTCACGCAGCGACGCCCACTACAGTAACCCTCACCAATATAAAAAACGTCGTCACGGCAGACTACTCATTTTTTAACAGGTAAGTACCATAAAGACTTTCATCCTCGCTCATCACACAAACAACAATCGCAGACCATCCAACGAGTCGAACATGGCAAGCCCTGCTACAGTCAGCTACAGTATATATCTATGATAATCCGCTAATGACAGAGGTGACCTCCTATCTGTATTTTCTCACTCTCTGTGTCTCTGCTGTACCTAGATAATATATCTCCTCTGTTAAACATTGCTCTTACTGATCTCTTTCTACTCTCTCTCGGATTAGGTATCTCTTCCTGTAATTATATCTCTTCAATCATCATCAATTCACAGTCTCGTCATCTCCTCTCTCTCTCCATTCATTTCTCTCCTCTCTCTCTTCTGCTCTCTCTCCATCTCTCTCTTCTCTGCCTTGTTCTTTCTTAGGTTGAAACTGCTCTTCTTCGTCCCATACTCTGAGCATTTTCTCTCTCTCTCTTTCTATCTCTATCTTCTCATCTCCTCGCTCTCTCCGATTGATTGCCACTGCATTTTTGTTCTCTCTCTCTCCTCTATTCAAATCAACTGCAAATTTCTCTCTACACTCACGGTAGTTCAGCTCGTCTACAGCTAATGAGAATTTCGCTGGCTGAGCGAGATCTTGCGCGTACGGACAAGCGCTGGAGTCGGACAACTATACCTTGCTCTGCAAACCGTAACATAGATATCCACAGCATATATATCCGTTGAAAGTCGACTGAAAGGATATATGTCAGAGAACCAGGAACATCTATGCTAACAAATAAGTCCGCAGCGGCTAGCGCGGCAGCGAAGTCGGCGCTGACGAGCATCCAAGCCCAGCTCTCGAGCGACCCTCAAGCCTTCCGACCTCGGATGGCAGACGGAGCTGGAGCAGCGCAACATTCTCAAACGTAAGTGAAGCCGTGCAGTGGCTTCATCGTCGAATGTCACGATATGCGCCGCAGTCAGGCTATTCCAATGCTAATTGATGCTCGCGGACCATCTGTAAGTTGACATGTTGGCATTGGGCTTGCCATGAGGACGGGGTCGGTACTTACTGTAAGTGGGGTCGCCGTGACGACGGGGTCGGTACTTACTGTAAGTGGGGTCGCCGTGACGACGGGGTCGGTACTTACTGTAAGTGGGGTCGCCGTGACGACGGGGTCGGTACTTACTGTAGGTGGGGTTGCTGTCATCATCATCGTCGTCGTCGTCGTCGTCCCTGTATGGTACATCCTCATCGTCGGTGTCGTCGTTGTCGTACTTGGCCGGGTTGCGGATGACGACGCGCGGACGATAGACCCTCACGTTCTCCTTGTTCTCGCCGCTGTCCGCCGCAAAGCGAGGCTTCGCCGCTACCTGAGGCTTCGTCCGCCTGGCGGCGACAAACGGAAAGGCTGTCAGAATGTGGATCGCGGGCGAAGCTCGTAGCACTTGTCATCTTGTATAATCTATAATCTTAGTATCAGTATAATCTTACAGACAGTTTAAACTTCTACACGCCAAGCCGCGCTGTCTGGTTCACGCACACGCGCGTTCACACTACCGACACGCCCGCCGAGGAAGCAACATCACGCGCACACCAACCGACTGCTCGTGAAACAGCCACAAGACAATCGGACCCGTCTCCGACAAACCTGTCTCCCAACAATGATGGAGCACTCGGGGAAGCCCCGGCGTGCTGGCTTCGTGTGCGCGCGTGACTCACCCAGGAGATTCTGCAGCGGCGGTGAACTTGACGGCGGCAGTGCTGGCGGGTGCGGGCTGGCGGGCGGCGGGTGCGGGCTGGCGGCCGGCCGGCGACGTGAGTATCGCCGCCACCGGCAGCTTCGGACTAGGCATCGCGCCGTTGCGCTGCATCGCCGCGGCAACGAGCTTCGGACTCGGCTGGCGGCCGGCTCCGCCTATCGACACGGTCTTGGGGCTGGGCGGCTCGCGCAGGCCTGGGCCGCCGCGGGCCGCCGGCTGAGGGCTGCCCGGCGCACCTGCCCTCTTAAGTGCACTTCGGATAGGTTTGGCGTCGGGCCTGGGCTCCCTGGCAGGCACCTGCAGACGTAACATCAGCAATGCAAGATCACAAACAATCAACAAGAACAACAACAAGGATCGTGTAATAAAATATAACCATATGTTAACAACATCAAATAATATTAATAATAACAACAACAACAATAATAACAACCATGATGATGAAATGACAAAACGACAAAACAATGTTAGTGACAAGGATATGAAAACCGACAACGATATATTGAACGATATGCAGCGCATATGATGACAATCATAACACCCCCTCATTACCGCCACCGCCGCCGCCGACAACACAACAACAGCAACAACAACAGCAACTACAACACAACAACAGCAATAACAACAACAGCAGCAACAACAACAACACCGCCACCAATAACAATCAACAAACTACTAACGTTGACACTAATAATGTACCGCAAAAATTCTGCGACCGACGTCCACCTTTACCTGCTCAACAATAGTCGTGTCGATGAAAGGCGACGGCACGCCTCCCGTTGACTTTGCCGAGGGGTTGATAAGCATGGGAAGCATAGGGGGCGGCAGCGGTACCTCACCCGATCCATCCGAGTCATCGTCGTCCAACGAGATCTTGATCTGGTCCGCTGAAACACAAGCACAGCTCTTACGTACGGTAGATGTACTGTGTATGCACGTATGCACACACGTACGCACGCACGCACGCACGCACGCACACACGCACAGCTCTTACGTACGGTAGATGTACCGTGTATGCACGCACGCACGCACGCACACAAGCACAGCTCTTACGTACGGTAGATGTACCATCTACGTTGCTTCTCTATAGACTCTAGTATTCACGTCTCATGTACGCACGCACGCACACACGGGCACGCACGCACACACGCGCACGCACGCACGTGCACGCACGCACGTATGCACGCACACATACACACACAACTCTTACGTATAGTAGACGCACTGCCAATGTTGCTTATCCATATTATTCACGTCTCACATGCGCACGCACACGCACGCACACGCACGCACACGCATGCACGCACACACCTCTCTTTATCTCACCCACACTTAAATTTAACTCCAGCCTTATACTTTCACACACTTATCAGCTTAATCCCGTTATATCACAGCCGCACAACACCCAGCGCCTACTATCAAGAGACGTAAATTTATTCATACACGTATTATTTCCAATGTTACAGTTCAAGAAATACAGCTTGGCACTACATCTGAAATCATTTAATATCCCCTCAACATCATATACGACAATTTTTCGTGCTATTACAACAAAACCCACAATTCTTATTATTATTTACACATACCTGAACCCCACTACATAAACCTAGCATCGACATCAGGGATTTCGGAGGCTTGAAGAGCGAATCGCTCATCGCTCCCGTGTATTTTTTTACCCTGATCGACATATATATCGCAGGCATGTGCAACCAGCAGCAGCACCTACCATCAAGAGACGTGGGTTCATCCGCCCCTGTAGCTATAAAACTCAGGCTGTAGTCTGCCTCGGGTATTGGTACTACCACTGACGTGTCCTGCACGGGCGGGCAGTAGAAATACTGTGCATTCCTGTCAACAGGTGGCGCCGTCACCATCCCCTTAGCCGCTGTGCTGGCATTGGTGGGATGACTGGAGACCGTATTTGCTTGCGAAACTGGAACTAGATCGAAGAGAGGTCGATAGTAATGTTGCCGGGAGACGGAAACCCGGCATCACCAAATCACATCACCCCTCCTCCCCCTGTTTCCTTCATCAGCAATTAAAATTAGTGATTGACTGAAGATGTGTATTGAAATCTTGTATGTGATGTGTTGTGTTGTGTTGTGTTATACTGTGTTGCTTTGTGCTGTGTTATGTTATATTTTGTATTGTACTGTATTGTACTGTATTGTACTGTATTGTACTGTATTGTACTGTATCGTATCGTATTGTACTGTAATCTCGCTGCGTACTCTCAAGCCTATGTTACGCAATGATTCCGGATTATCAGATTTCTCTCTTCAGTACATGTATTTGTATTTGAATCACAATAAGTGACATGCAATAAAGATTTAACAATTCCCTCCTCGAAGCATCAACACCAGAGCACAGCAAGCAGCCGAGCTTTCAGCCAATGAGAGCACGAGCCGGGTCCGGCTGATTACTGATCGATTGGCGCGGACCAATCAATTAGAATGAGTGCGTGGGCGTGCGGCATTGTCGTCTGCTGCCGGCACCGCAGCCGCCGCTGCCCCGCACTGCCGAGAATTAGTGCTTTCTCACGAGCATGATCGAGAAGCATCAAAGAGGGAGGGGAGAAGGAGGGAAGGAGGGAAGGACGGGGGAGGGGGGACAGAAAGAGAGATAGAGATTGGAGCGAGAGACAGAAACAGAGACAGAGACAGAGACAGAGACAGAGACAGAGACAGAGACAGAGACAGAGACAGAGACAGAGACAGAAACAGAGACAGAGACAGAGACAGAGACAGAGACAGAGACAGAGACAGGAACAGAGACAGAGACAGAGACAGAGACAGAGACAGAGACAGAGACAGAGACAGAGACAGAGAGACAGAGAGACAGAGACAGAGACAGAGACAGAGACAGAGA